CAAGTTACCTTGACTAAAAACAAAAAGCGAAAGCAAAAAGAATAAACAAAAATAGGCAGTTGTTTACTAGCATTAATTGACCTGCACTTTCCTGCAAATTTCAAAAAATATTCAACAGAATTTATATTGAAGTTAGTTATAGCTGTATGCAAAATGTAAAATCTATAATTAGTTCACATAACTACAAGATTTTACAGAGTGATACAAGTTTGAATGGCAACTGCATTACAAAGACCGCTTGCCCATTGAACAACTGATGTTATCAAGTAATATTGTTTATCAAGCTGCTGTGATTGATAAAAATCCTAATCCTGAAGGAAAAAAAATATATATTTTAGTATCAGCGAGACACCATTCAAACTTAGATACACAAATCATTTAATATCTTTTAATGCAATTTCACGCAAAATCTTTTAAAATACAGAACTGAGCTTTCTACCAAGCTTTCTAAGAAGATTTGGAATTTAAAAAAAGAAAACATAAAACACAAAATTAAATGGAGAATTATAAAATGCTGTAAACCTATCAAAATAACATTTAAAGTTTGTAACTTCTACCTTCATGAGAAATTTATAGTCATATCACAAAGAAAAAAACCTGCCTAATAAAAAAAAAGTGTCAACATTTCAACTAATAGCTAATATTATATATATATATATATATATATATATATATATATATATATATATATATATATATATATATATATATATATATATATATATATATATATATATATATATATATATATGTATATATATGTATATATATATATATATGTATATATATATATGTATATATATATGTATATATATATATATATATATATATATATATATATATATATATATATATATATATATGTATATATATATATATATATATATATATATATATATATATATATATATATATATATATATATATATATATATATATATATATATATATAGGCTTCAGCAGGAATGACGGGCTATAGCCCGTGTCCGTCTCCGCACCCGTCTAAGTCAGTTTAGACGGGCGAAATAAAGCCCGTCTGAAACATAAGTTTTGTGTAAAAAAAAAAATGAATATTTTGATGTTTTTTTATTAAGATACTCTTTCTCTCATGACATAGTTTTAATATGGATAGCAAACTCCAACTTATAATTGTTTATATTTAAATATAAAAATTAAACAATTTAATCATTATTGTATAACATGATGTAGAAAATAATATAACTAAATCTTACAGTTTTTTAAATGACAATAACTGTTTGATATAATACCAAACAGTTACCATATCATGTTCAAAATTTAATAACTATTATATTAAATAGGGAAATATACACATGTGATTCACAAGAAGTATCATGTTGTTTTGGTTTTTCAATGTTTATAATAATAACGATAATAAACTAATTATCCATGTATTTCGCTTTTTTCCGATAAACTAGTTTGTCTTACTTTAAAGACATTTAAAGTGATATTTCCGCGTTAACTTCACGTTTTTTCTTAAAGAGACGGCAGTTTATTTAATATGCAATTATATAACTCGTTATTGAAAATGAAATATCTCATTAAAAATCAACAAACGTCTAATCAATTTTTGTAGATAATATAAATAGTGTTGCTTTATAGTTATGAAGTTATTCAAGTTATCCAGTCATTCAAATTTTTCAAGTTATTCAAGTTTTTCAGTAAAGATAGTAATAGCATCATCTGGTAGAAGAGTTACATTAGCAACATTTTTGAGTTAGGGTAATGATGGAGTCTGTGGAAAAGAAACTGAGGTGGAGAATGGAACAATTTTTGTTGTGAAGATATGGTGTATAGTTTGTATAAAATATAAAAAAGAATTGCTTTGCGAGTTAAAAGGTCTGGCAAAATCAAAAGCATTAGCATTTATAGAGGGCACTATGAACGTTAAAGCTAGCAACATACATACGCTTATATACATGCTTATATTGTATATAAAGTAACGGAAGCCCCGGTATTTTAAGAAATTATTAGTACTTCTAAATAAAAACTTATTTTATTAAAAGAAATTAGATTTCAAATTTTTTATTCACGTATCAGAATAACTATTTCCGATCAGGATAGGCATAGGTAAAGCAAAGTTATAAAAATATAAATAACAGTTTAAGTTTTTAATTTGCACGCCCAATAGAATGCAAGAGTATATAAATAATTGAATTTGAAAAATAACATAGTTACGTATCATATTACCAAGCTAATACCAAACAATTCTAAAACTATCGAGCTCATTGATTCAAGGTTACAAAAAAAAAAGATTTCAAACTATTTGCTGAATAATTAAAAAAATTAGATTTTGAAAATATTATGTAATATTTTTATTCACAAAGAATAAGAGAAACGAATGAACTAAAAAAGCACGATAAAAACCTGTATAATTTAATCGAATACTTGAATAAAACAATAATATATAAATATACTCAAAAAGACTTCGGTAAAAAAACACTTAGGATGCTTGAATAAGGAAACGTGATGAAACGCCATGGTTGTTTCGAGGATTTTTCCCGTCGTTTTCACGTTCATTCGTTTGACTATATCTGCCAGATATTATCTGGAATAAAGATTAAAAAAAAAAAACATAAAAAACTGAATAATGTTCCTTCGAGTAAGAAATCTAAACTTTTGTTTAGACCATAAAACAACTAACCCACGTGAAACGAAATTAGATCTGTGCAAGTGAAAACTTTAAAAAACAATTATTGAAATCTTAGTTTTAAGTATTATCCAACTCATTTACTGCAGTGTTTTAATTACTTAAGTAATTAAGCATTTTAAACAGTTAATCGCTTTCTAACATATTATTTTAGTGCAATTCACAAAATGTTTAATATTCAATGACATTTTCATTCAAAAAGAAGAAGAGAAATTAACAAATTAAAAAAAAAAAATAGTTCAAACTTTAGAATTTTTTTTAAAGTTTAAAAAAGCCCGTGCAAGACCATCTAGACGGGCGGCCCTCATAGCCCGCCAAGTCTATTTAAGACGGGCTTTTCATAGCCCGTACGGTTTTTATTCCTGCCGAAGCCTGTATATATTAGGTTGACCGGAAAGTAATGTCGTATTTTTACGTCAAATTAAAACAAATAATTTTTTTATAATATTTATTGTTAATCAATGATATAATCACCCTCATTTTCCACAACCTTTTGCCATCGAGCGGGCAAACTTTCTATACCAGATCGAAAAAAATGTATTGGTTTGTCATTAAAATATCTGGAGATGCCATTTTTTAAGCAGTACAAAGTTTGAAATTTTTTGTCACTTAGAAAGTGCTGTAAGGATCGGAACAAATGAAAATCTGAAGGGGCGATATCAGGTGAATATGGAGGGTGGGGCAGCACCTCCCATCCCAATTCATTAATTTTTTCTAGCGTCCGTCGTGCACAGTGCGGCCTTGCATTGTCATGTTGAAGAATGACACCTTTTCTGTTGACGATAGCCGGGTAATTCTCAACTAGAGCTTGGTTCACTCGATCCAATTGTTGACAATAAAGGTCCGCATTAACAGTTTGTCCAGGAATAAGCACTTCAAAGTGGACGATTCCGCGGATGCTCCACCAAACACACAGGAGCGCCTTCTTGGGGTGTAATCCCGGCTTTGCAGTACTGCGTGCTGGTTCATTTGGGGAGAGCCACTGCCTTTTGCGTTTTGGATTATCGTATAGGACCCATTTTTCATCTCCAGTGACCAAACGATCAAGAAACGGTTCTGCATGGTGCCGTTGAATCAATGCATTGCACGTGGTTGATCTGTTGGCTTTGTTTTGCACTGACAAGTTATGGGGGACCCAAACACCTGCTCTGCTGATTTTTCCTATCTGGTGTAAATGTTCTTGGATGGTCGACCAAGGTTGGTTAAGGGTGTTCGACAATTCTTCGATGGTTTGGCATGGATTTGCTTCAACTTCTGCCCTTAGAACGTCGTTGTCTAATGACATTGGTCTTCCTGGTCGATGGGCGTCAGAAAGATCAAAATTCTCAGATCTAAACTTGGAAAACCATCTTTGGCATTTGCGAACATCTAATGAACCTGGGTAAACATCACTAATGTTCTTAGTCGCAACTGTAGCGTTATTACCCTTGCGAAATTCAAAAAGCATACAATGACGAATATGTACTTCCTGTATTTCGTATGCCATTTCACTCCAATTTGCAAAGAAAACTATTTAATTTTAAATAATTTAGAAGTAAACAAGTCACACTAATATAAAAATAACCTGTGCACGTGTTTGAGATACACAATAAACTGGCCAACGATTATCGAATGTCAACATGCGCAAAAACGACATTACTTTCCGGTCAACCTAATATATATATATAAGTTTTTGTGCAACTAGTTTGTCACTTATTTTGCTTATTAAAATTATTTCTAACAAACATTCATTCATCAACATGGATTTATAACAAGCATGTCACAACTATTTAAATTAATAGAAAACAATCAAGAGAGAACAAGAAAACAATGGACAAGGCTCAAAAGCTGCATATATATATATATATATATATGTATATATATATATATATATATATATATATATATATATATATATATATATATATATATATATGATTGACAGTTTAAAAATAAATTAATGGACATTTAAAGTAGTTAAAAAAATTGCATATAAAATAATTAAGTACGTTTATAAATTAATGTATATTTATAAATTATGTTCAAGTTATGACGTAGGAAAACCTTTGATTTTTTCTGTTTCATTTATTGTGAAAGTTTGCGTTACGTAATTTATAGACGATCCCTTATCTTTTTTTTTTCTTTTTTTTTTTAAACCATAAGTGTTTCAAAACTGGGACAAATGAATGTCCCGATGACCTTTTTCAGGATGCTGGGACAGCGCACCTAAAACCGGGACAATCCCGGAAAACCGAAACACCTGGTCACCCTAGCTATAATATTCTATAATTTTTTTTATATTTATGTAAGTTTGTTTTTGCAGTTATGTTATCTGTTTTGATTTAAATTTTAGATGGTCTGGTTGCATATGGCTATAGTTCTGATCAACTTAAAGGTAATAACTTTTTAGTATATGACTAATTTCTCCAGCCTTTTATTCTATAATGATAGCAGATAATCTGGAAAAATTTAAATTAAAACATTTAAACTTGATTACAAAAGTTTTTTTATTATAAAAAATACAGAATTATTTTTGTAAAATAATACAGTAATATCATATTCATCATTATTATATTTCTTACATCTTTATTTTTTTTCACAAAGTTACAGTAATAGAATATACTTAAAACTTAAAAAAAATTAAACTTGTAAATGTGACACCTATTCAAAGGGTGTACACCTACTCTACAAATACAACTTGCTAACATCTATTCTAACGGTGGTAGTAAAAGTTTCCTGTTTCCCAAAGTTTTATCAACTGTTTCCCAAAGTTTCTGACATATTATATAGTTTTATTATATTGTTTGTACATATTATATTGTTTGTACATATTATATTGTTTGTACCTTTTAGAGATATTAGTGTTAATTACTGTTATCCGTGATCTGCAAATATTTATATATTAGTTCTGGGCATATACTTACATACTAGTTCACTTATTGGTTGTGAAGAGAGTCTACTGACTTATTTGATAAGTAGTTATCTTCTTATCTTTCATCGTGTTTTCTTTTCATCTTCTTATCTTCTTATTTTTTTATCTTCTTTTCTTTTTTTCTTGACATATCAATTTGTTGTGAAACCATATTCTCAACTTCTATTCTTTTCATCTTCCATCTTATCATCTTCTCATTTTCTCTTCTCATCTTGATGTATCAGTTTGTTGTGAAATCAACTTCTAATCTTCTTATCTTCTTAATCTTTTTGCTTATTTTTATTTTGATCCTTAGGTCTAAAAACAAAACGTAAATTTTAGTAATGCAGTATAAGCTGGTAGATCTGTTCTAACAACCAAGCTGATAGTCCAATTATTTTAAGATTTGAAAAATACCAGGGTTGCTGTTCTAACAAGGTGATAGATTTTTCCATCTACCAATACAAATGCTTTGGTGGTATAATTTCAAGAAGTTTTATTTTTAGACTGTAACTGTTCTTGTACTGCAACCTTTCTAAACACCAATGTGTTGAAATTCTACTTTTCTCAAAGTTCCCTTCTTCGTGTTTTTCTGACTTAAATGCAGCTTTGAGTCTTGTCCACTGTTTTCTTGTCCTTTAACACTCTTCATTGCTTTTTATCAACTTAAATAGTTGTGACATGCTTGTTATAAGTCAATGTCGATGAATAAATGTTTGTTAGAAATAATTTTAATAAGCAAAATAAAAGTGACAAACAACTTGAACAATAATCTTATCATATATATTATCAAAATAAATGATAATTCCAACAATGCTGTAAGCAACCACTATTAGAGTTGGAAGTTATTGGAAGAGAAAAAAGTTTATATAGGAAGATAACGATTGACAGATGACTTAAAAGATTGCAAATTATATTCATCAGGAAAGCAAGATGTAGGAAACAAAATGTAGCAAGATGTAGGAAACCGAAGCAACTGATATTCAAGGAAAAAATCTAGAAGAATAAGAGTTTTTGGAATACTTAGGAACAGTCACAGTAAAAGGATGCGACTTCATTGAATGACGAGTAACATGAGAATGAATTTTAGTAGATGACACAAGAGACATTAGCTCTTTAGAGCATTGCCTGTTATAATATTTGTAGAAAAGAGAAAGAGAAGCGACATTACAACGATGTGATAATAATTGGAGGTTGGCTGCAAGAGCAGGTCCAACTATGTTTAAAATGCATTTTTGCACCTTGTCTAAAAAAAAAAGGGCATCATTGAAGATCCGTCCCAGATATGGCAACAGTATTCCATACAAAGATTTGAGATTTATAGAGATAAAGAAGAGAATCCAGAAGTCAGTGAAGAGAATGTGTCAAGCACAATAAAGAGATGCAACCTTAGTAGATGCAAATTTTGCAATAGATTTGATATATGGTTTCCAAAAAAGATTGGAAGTAGAGTTGAAAAGCCAGGAAAAAGTTGACAGAATGCTTGAAAAGTTGTAGGTTTTATGAGTCAGAAAAGTAAAACATAATTTTACAATGTGTTTTTGAATCATATCTAGAAAGCATCATTAGAAGAAAAACTGAATATGACAACAATATTCAGGGGTGAAATTTTTCAAGGTAGAGAATGGAATCAGGAGTAAAATAATGGCACAATAAAGAGCTTTAGTTGCCGATCAATAAAGAGCAGATGATAACATCAGCATGTTATCATCTTAGCAGATGATAACATAGTTAATTAGCAGATGATAACATGGTTTACATGAGAGGTCAAAAGTGAATGCTAATCTAAAAAAGAGAACACAGTGAGAGAGTTTTGGTTCATTAATATAAGAGTGTTGACAGTATCACGATAGTTGTTAGCAGTAAATAACTGAGTTTTGTTTGAGTTTCTCAAGCCACTGCAAGCCCTAATCTATTACAAAAGTGAGATCAGATTTAAAGTCAGCAGTCTTTTATAAGCAATTGAAAGGAGAAGACTTTTTTTTAAAATAAGAGTTTATGATCAAGTCATCAGCAAATAGAGCCACTTTAGATAAGTTAAGTTCTATGCTTGTCGCAAAGATCATTAATTTAGATAAGAAACAAATCAGGACCAGGGATAGAACCTTTAGGTGCCCCAGAAATAACAGGAAATAAAGAAGAGTGTTATCCTGTTATAAGGATGACTTTAATAAAGCAGTTAGAAAGAAAAAATTTATAAATCTCAAAAACTTTCCCAGATACACCATAAAAAGCAAGCTTATGGAGAAGACCAGCATGCTAGACTTTAACAAAGGCTTTAGATATGTCAAGCGTAATAGCCCTGCCACCTCCATCTAATGCAGGATAGATTCCTTCAGTCACAGCAGTTTAAGACCATTCAAATAACAGAGAGAAGACTAATAGGATAATAGTTAGAGGGATCAGAATGAACTTAAGAATTTTTAAAAATTGGAACCACAAATTTGGCACCAGACACGAAAACAAGATTCAGTAAAAAAATTATTAAATAGTTTATTAAGAATTTAAGTTCTTGAGGACACTTTTGTAAGACTATGAAAGTAATTTTCTCTGGAACACGAGCTGTAGAAGATTTTAATTAAGAAATAACTTTAGCAACACAAGCTGGAGTGAATTGAATGTCTAAATATGGGTTAAGCTTTTTTAATAGAATGACAGGAAGAGTATGGCTATTAGAGTTGAATTAGTAGAAAGTTTCTTTGTAAATAGCCTAATCCTTAGGAGAGGTAATAAGTTCAGACTCATGAATTAAAGATGACTAACCTTTGTTAATGCCACTATTGAAGATTTTCCAGATGTCATTTTAGGCTGGAGCCTAACATCTGAGATAAGATACAAAGTTTAGTAAACTAGGGATAATGAAACTTCAGACATCAGTCAGCATTTTTTTACATTGATCTTGCAATAATAAAAAGGCATTTGTTCTCAAGAGAGTTATTCTTTTGAAAATGATATAAAAAATGGTTATAATTAGATATAGAAGCTGCACAAGAAGATGAAAACCAACAATAAGAAATAAAAGCTTTCATAGTGCCTGGATCCAGGAGGTTATGTAGGAGGCGTTTATCAGCTGAGAGAGAAAAAACATCAGCCCAAGGGCTGTCATGAAGAAAATCATGAAAAAAATCCCAGTCACCTTTAGGGTAGTAGTAAGTAGTGCGATGATAAAGTGAGTCCAAATAAGAAGAATAAGATGAAAGACTTTGAGAAAAAAAAACAAAAAAAAAAGCATGGTTAATACTACCTAATGGAGAACAAGGAGAAATCAAACTCAAGCTAGGGTCAGAGACAAAACACAAATCAAGGAGTGAAGGTAAATGATTAGGGTCGTCTGGAAAACCAGCCACAAAGTTAACTATCTGAGTTAGAGATTGAGAAATACAGAAGTTATTGGCTTTAGTTCCAGCAGGCTCAGTGGTATTAGAGCCAACCTATTCAGTGTGATGAGCATTAAATTCACCGCTGATAACAATTTTGGCAGATAATTAAATAGAAAAGGCATGGTCAATTTGATCAGAAAGATTTATCTAAAATATTCATCAAACATACATATAAAAGAGTGCAGTTTTAAGAAGGAGAATGATAAATAAAAATAAAAGAAGGTCATTGATGAAAAACGAAGAGAAAGATAATAGAGTGAGAAAGTGCAAAAAGCGGAAAGCGGAAGTATATCAAAGAATAGTCAGAGAATTCGAATTTTACAACAAGTAAATGTGAAAGTAAATGAATTTATATGTAAATATACCCCCAGGCCAAGTATGTGGCTATTTGAGTCTTCACGAATCAAAAGATAGTATCCATCAATACTAAGATCTGAAAATGGAACAGCTGAATTTAAATTAGTCTCACAAAAAGCAAGCAAGTTGCAGCAATCCTAGACAGGAAACAACGTAACAAAGGTTTACATCTATGCCAGCCTAATTGATGAAGAAGGGGTTTGAGACTGTTGAACATAATTATTCTGCTTACCCCTAAAGACAGTTGCTAGATGCACTTAACATCTGCCCAAGATGAGTATTTTTGTTGAGACAACAACTCTAGCCTTTACTCAACCAAGAGACACCAAGGCAGGAGAATTTAATGTCAGAGTTTTTTTCTCCAAGAATTTGCCTAAAAATGCAAACACTACAAGGTTGCAGGGCATGGGGCAGATAGTTCCAGGACTTTAAAGCCGAAGTCGAAAAATTGGCTCCAGCTCCAGGCTTCAGCTCCATTAAATTTTTTAGCTCCAGCTCTATTTTGGTAGCAGCTTTAGCACAGCTTAAAAAAAAAAAACAAATCAAAATATTAAAATATTTTATAAAATATCAGGGATTGGTGGTTATATTAATATTGCCAAATATAAACTCAAGTGCAAAAAACAGAGTTTCTACACTTGCTTGTGAGAAAACTATAGAAGTGACTACTCAGCACTCCTCTGTATCCTTTTTGGATATTCTTCAATTCCCTCAAAAACTGATTTCACTTTTAAATGTTCCTTTTCTTCAATAACTTTACAGTCATTGAAGACTTTACTTCTAAGTGAGCATCAAATACTTAACTCTCAATCTATACATATAATATCAATATCAAAATATAAAATGCTTTATTTAGAAATCATAAAACTTTAAATGGCATTATTAATTACAGTCTAATTAAAAAAAAATCTATATAAATATAAAAAATATATATAAATCCATAAAAAGTATTCCATATAAAAAAATAACTTCATAGTACTTAAGAATCCCTCTAACAAAAAATACTCATACTCATGATCTTCCAAAATATTAAAGAGAAGTGAGCTAGCTTGGAGCCAGCTCTGGAGCATCTCCAAAGTCCACGATAGTACATGGTTACATGATACTAATAATTGGGTGAACATGATGATCCTGAGCCTAACCTGGCCTCTAGTAGATAAAAGAGGTTATTTCCTGTAAGCAGTACTTTAAAACATTGATGGGGATGTTTTAGAAAAGCTTTAAGAAAAATGTTACATTTAACAGAATACTTAAGTTTAGCATGAGTTTTATAGTTAGAGTTGCTTGTTGGTAACTAAGCTCACGCTGCATCAGAGATTTAAACAGAACATAAACATTTTTTTTTTTTAATATATTTGCTGATTTATTCACTTATTTTAGTTACAATAAATAAATAAAATAAACAAACAAGCTGTGATACACATTATTGTGTGTAGTCTAACAACAGATTTCAAAATATAACAGCATTTCACAGTTTTGCATATAATTGTCATAGAGGGTTTTAAATATATTTAATTTTTTTGCATTCGCATCATCTTGTGGTAAACGATTCTATTTGTCCACTATTCTATTTATAAAAAATTTATGTTGACCGTTTGTTTTTTGTTTTGTTGTCTACTTTTTCTTTTACTGTGCCCTCTTTTTTGTAATTGAATTTTTTATAAATATAGGCAGGGACTATTCTAGGAAAAAAATTTATGCAATGGTAACCCCGTCCCAAAGAAATTCAGCAGAAATATTGCTGAATATAGGTGTTTTTTTTTTGTGAAAAAACATTATTTGTCAAAAAAACTGTTATATAAATATTGTCATAAAAAAGGTGCTCAATTTTTAATTTGGAGGGTGTCTGATTCTGGTCAACATTGTTTAAAACGGTCTAGAATAGCCCCTGATAGGAGAATTATACCAATTAATTGCATATGAGTTATTTGTATAGTTCCACTATATCACTCCTTGACCTATTCTAAAGTCTAAAGAAAAATTTTATTTACTCTATTTTTGTATGGTAAACCTTTTAAACTGTGGATACGAGTTGGTTTTTGTTGGATTTGTTTGATTATATTGATGTTTTTTTTAATGTGGATTTCATATTGGTGCTCCATGTTTACGACCTAAATATTTAAAAGAGTGTTTTATTATGCCTAATTTTTGGTAAACTTTATTGAATGTATAGTTAATGTGGTAATTCCAGATTAGGTTGTTTGATACAAGTTTACCAAGATCTTTTTCTAAAGTTGTTTTTGTTTGTTTAGTTGCATATGTTTTATCTTTGGAATTATAAGGCATTAAGTATTTGTTGTTAGGGTTATTTTTTTCATTATGCATAACCTATTACTTGTCACTATTAAATTTTGTTGACCAATTTTTTGTCCATTGGACCATTTTGTTTAGATCTTCTTGAAATTCTTCTGTACTGCTGTTATGATCTAGTATAGATATTAATTTTTTACCATCTGTCAACTGGAATATTATTGTCAAATACTTTACTGACAATATCTAATGTTTCTAGTAAATTTGTACAACAATTTTTGTTTGTTCACAAGACCATGTTGTTGCACTGAGATTAAATTATTATTGTTAAGATATTTCATTATATGATAATACTTTCTATGACTTCTAATAGAATCTTCTTTATATTATACTTTCGATTGACAATCAATAATACTTTTGATTGACAATCAATAATACTTTCGATTGACAATCAATAATACTTTCGATTGACAATCAATAATACTTTCGATCAACAATCGATAATACTTTCTATGAAATACAATGTTAAAGAATTCAGTAGTTAGCTGCAGTTAGCTGATTCAAGCTTGTCACCTTTATTATGCAATGATGTTATATTTGCATGTAACCACAAGTTAGGTAGCACTTTTGAATGATTGTTTAAATATTAACTCTGTTATATTATTTTGAGTTTAAATTCCAACAAGTACTATAAGTACTAAAAGTACAACAGCCCACTATAAATAATATTTTTTATATTCCAACAACTACACCTGTCCACTATAAATAATATTTTTATATTCCAACAACTACACCTGTATTTACAATACAGATGTAGTTGTTGGAATATAAAAATATTACCTACAGAATAGAACTTATAATAGAATATTATCATTTTATTATTCTAATCAGTGAAATATGGATTATCATCAAAATTATTATTGTTTTATATATAATTTTAATATTATTTTTTTTTAATATTATTACTGTTATTGTTGTTAATTTTATTATTATATAGGTGCTTCATATGGGCCGTTTCCAGGAGCAACAGTAATTGGACTTACACCTGGTGATTGGAAATCTATTAAAATTAGTCCACTCACAGAAAAAAAGAAGTATGTTAGAGTTTGTGAAAATGAAAAACTGAGTCAGGTAATTTCATTAAAAAAATATTCTGTCAATTAAAAATGTAGGAGGTCCATTTAGTACAAAGCACCAGCTACCATGGTTACCATTTACTATATTTACAAATATTTTATTAAAATGAAATAAGTTTAATATTTAATAAAACTGTAAGCAAATTATTTTGAGTATAAATTCCAACAAGTACTATAAGTACTAAAAGTACAACAGCCCACTATAAATAGTATTTTTTATATTCCAACAACTACACCTGTCCACTATAAATAATATTTTTATATTCCAACAACTACACCTGTATTTACAATACAGGTGTAGTTGTTGGAATACAAAAATATTAACTACGATATATTTCTGTAATAACTAAACCTACGAAAACACTGTGTTTTCACCACTTTTAATCTTTTTTGATTTCTTTGCAATATTAGGAGCACTTTATATCATTACTCTTGTGAACCAATTGTTTATGAATTGCACAAACAATATAGTTTGCTTCCACTTTGTTCCTACGCACTCTGTGTGGCCACTTTCCAGTACTTTCAGCTTTCTGATTGTTGAATTTACATTTGTCTTATTCATGTTTGTTATTATTATTTGTCTTATTCATGTTTACCTTTTTTATGCTTCATTTCCAATCTTTCTAATTTTTATTAATTTCTTCTACAGTCTTACTACTATCATCTAAATTGCTACCATCTGCTACCATCCTAAAATGGTGAAATCCATTAAAAGAACTTTTAGAACAATAAAAAACAAAGGTTCTGCACACTGATGCACATAAATCTTTATTTTAAAAATGTCTGTCTCTCCATTATTTGTTTTATATCCATCATTCTTTTTGATTGCTATTGTGACATTTTTATGGTATCAGTAACCAACCATTCTTTATCATGTTGTTACTTCTCATCACAATACCTTATTTGTTACTCTGTTGAAAGCTTTTTTCATGTTTAACATGCTATATAAGATACTTTTCTTTTTTAAAAATCTATCCTGAACTTGCCTAACAAAAATAATTGCATTGTTTTCTTTCATGGATTAAAACAAAATTGTTATAGTTGTGTTATTTCAATACTTCTTATTTTGTTGGCAATAATTCTATAATCTTCATAGTGAACTAAATTTTTTCTAAAATAATTCTAATAACAACTCAGTACATTAGTTAAATTTAGTGTAACTAACTTACATAAGTGTACATTTAGCGTAATAATGTACATAACTGTACATTAGTACACTTATTTAGTACTTAATTTAGTACACTTTATTAATATGACATTAAAGTATTTACTTTTATTAAAGGATGGAAGATGTGATGAGCTTGCTGTAAATGATTATCCTGATTTGAAAATAGTCAGTGGAACAGGTATGTGCTGTTTCTTTAGAAGTTATTATTTTAGCTTACTAGTTAGTTTCTAGGTTTTACAAGTTAATTACTAGGTTTTACTAGTTAGTTACTAGTTAATAGGTTTCTTAAAAATCACTAGCAAAAACGCAATAAAAAATGGTTTTTAGAATTATTTAGAAAAATGATTTTTTTTGGCCATTTTTAAATTAAAATTTCTAACTAGATGTAACTTACCTATGTACCAGAAAAATATCATCAAGAAGAAGGTAGTGGACTGAGGATTAGTGGATGAAACAATTTAATTGCTATAAACTAAAAAAATTTTGTTTTATTATTCATAAAATTTATAAACCTAAAAAGACACTTCGAAAAAAAAGAATTAAACTTATAGTTATAGAATTAGCATAATTTGGTTTGATAATTGGTTTGAACCCCAGGAATAACAAATACCCTACATTGTCCCACATACTGTAAATTTTAAGGAGGTGACTTTATTTAATTTAAAAACATTATATATATATATATATATATATATATATATATATATATATATATATATATATATATATATATATATATATATATATATGTCTAGTGTCAGGTCAGGAGTATGGTCTTCATGATCATCCTGCTACTGGTAACATGTAACCCAGTGCAACCTGTTCCATGTTCTGCTGCCTTGCAGGATTTGCTTTCTAAGCAAAGGCTGGAAGGAGTGTTCGTCCTGTCATCAGTACTATCTAATATCAGTCATGCCTATAGTAAATTTATTTTTTTTATATATAGTCGGAGGTGCCTTAGTTACTGTATTAGCTCACCTGTAATCTACGTTATATGTATGTTTGTGTTCTGTCTGAACCTCTGGCACGGTGTTCGCTCACCCGTAAGTTACTTTATGTTCTTTATGTATGTCTGTGTTCTGTCTGAACCTCTAGCGCGGTGTTCACTCACCCGTAAGTTACTTTATGTTTATGTTTATGTTTTTTATGCATGTTTGTGTACTGTCTGAACCTCTGGCGCGGTGTTCGCTCACCCGTAAGTTACTATATGTTTTTTATGTATGTTTGTGTTCTGTCTGAACCTCTGGCGCGGTGTTGACTCACCCGTAAGTTGATTTATGTTTGTTTGTGTTCTGTTTATACTCTAATGCAGCGTGAGCTCAGTAACTAACTACTTACTCTAACTACAAAACCTACACTCACCTTAGACTCCTGTATTTTGTTAGATGCAGTGTTTTCCTAATGCGTTTCCAAAATATTATGCCTGGTTTTCTCAAAGTACTGTTGTGGGAAGTAACTCCTTTTAACTACTCCAGGTCAGGTCAGGATAATCGAGACCAATCTTCCCACTGGTATCACATAACCCAGTACCACCTGCCACAAGCCCTGCTGCCTTGCAGAGTGTGCTCTTCATAGGCAAAGGCTAGGAAAAATAAACTCCGACTAAAATTTCCCCTGCCTTGGGGCTCTTGGTTGAGTAAAGGCTAGAGATGGTGTCTCGATAAAAACACTCATCTTGGGCAGATGTTAACTGCATCCAGCTAAACATCCCCTGCCTTTAGGCTCTTGGTTGAGTAAAGGCTAGAGATGGTGTCTCGATAAAAATACTCATCTTGGGCAGATGTTAACTGCATCCAGCTACTGTCTTGTAGAAGGCCTCTTAGGCAAAGACTTTAGGGGTAAGCAGAAAAATTCTGCTAACCAGCCTCGAACCCCTTCTTCATCTATTAGGCTGGCGTAGATGTAACCTGTGTTACATCGTTTCCTGCCTAGGATGATGAATGCTGGATCTCCTTGACTCTACTCATAGAATTTTGCTTATGCCTCCTTGATAATGGCTATGCAACTCTTCCTGTTATCTCCATATGAGGGTACAGCTCTAAAACTCAGTTTAATGGTTCTGAGGCCGGCTGGTAGTAAGGTTTCCGGAACTCTGTGGTAGCTCTCAGAGAGGCTGATTCCATCAACAGCTGCAAAATATCAGAGTATTAACAGTGCCATGTTGCGCATGGATGGTGTCCCTGTTAATGCTTTTGGTGTGCATTGTCAAGGCCACATAAGGAGCCCTATGTCACAGCTTAGGGTTAATTAACAGGACTGAGACAACTGCATAGCTCATTGATTAGGAGGCTGTGCTCTATCTATGAATGAGTCAAGTTCTCATTAAACCCAAATCATGACCAAAGTAAGCAAAAATTTAAAACCTAAAAAACCATCCCCACCACCTAAATATTTTAATATATCTTTTACAAATATTCGCGGTCTACGAAGCAACTTTCCATCAGTTGAGTCTTACCTCCTGCAAAATTCACCAGACTTGCTTGCACTCAGTGAAACAAATTTAAGTTCTGCAATTCCTTCTTCAGATGTCAGTGTTGATGGGTACTATCCTTTGATTCGTAAAGACTCAAATAGTCACATGCTAGGTTTAGGGGTATACATTCGCATTAATTCCCCTATTTGTCGTGAAATCAGGTTCGAATCCTTTGACCATTCTTTTGTGTGCTTTCGCCTAGCACCTCTTCACTATATCACCTTTCTCTTTGTTCTTTATTGTTCTCCTTCTTCCCATGATTGCACTTTTTTAGATGTTATCTCTGATCAAATTGACCATGCCCTCTCTCTTTACCCCTCTGCCAATATTGTTGTTGTTGGTGATTTTAATGCCCATCACACTGAATGGCTTGGCTCTAACAACACTGATCCTGCTGGCACTAAAGCCTTTAACTTCTGCATTTCTCAATCTCTTACTCAGATAGTTAACTTTGTGACTCGTTTTCCTGACAACCCTAATCATTTACCTTCACTCCTTGACATATGTCTTGTCTCTGACCCTAGCTTATGTTCAGTTTCTCCCTTTTCTCCCTTAGGTGGTTCTGACCACGCAATGATCTCTGTAAATCTTTCTTCTCGTACTTCTTTTTTGGGCTCACCTTATCATCGCACCACCTACTACTACCCTAAAGCTGACTGGGATTCCTTTCGTGATTTTCTTCGTGATAGTCCTTGGGCTGATGTTTTTTCTCTCTCAGCTGACAAATGCGCCTCCTATGTAACCACCTGGATTTAGGCTGGAATGGAAGCTTTTATTCCTTCTTGTCGGTTTCAAGTCAAGCCTCATTCTACTCCATGGTTTTCTCCTTCTTGTGCAGCTGCTATATCCAATCGTAACCATTTTTTTCATCTTTTTCAAAAGAACAACTCTCTTGAGAACAAAAGGCTATTTATTATTGCAAGAAATCGATGTAAAAAGGTGCTTTCTAATGCTAAACTCCATTATTCTCAGTTCACTAAATCTCGCATCTTATCGCAGAAGTTAGGCTCTAAAGACTTTTAAAAAATTTTCAACAGCATTGTTTACAAGGGTAGATCTAACATTCCATCTCTCATTCATGGGACTGATCTTGTTACCTCTCCCAGGGATAAGGCAGAACTGTTTGCAAAGAACTTTTCTTCTAATTCCACTCTTGAATCTTATGGACATTCTCTTCCTTCCATTCCAGTCAAACAGGTTGACCCATTGTTAGACATTCAAATCACTCCGGCTTCTGTTGCTAAAGTCATATCTCAATTAAACTCGTCTACAGCTTGTGGTCCAGACAATATTCCTGTCACAGTCTTGCAGAATTGTTCTCCAAAACTTTCTTCAATTCTCTCTAAACTATTTAACAAGTGTTTGACTGAGTCTTGTTTTCCTGCTTGTTGGAAAATGACATCTGTGGTTCCAATATTCAAAAACTCTGGAGAAAATTCTGACCCCTCCAATTATCGTCCGATCAGTCTTCTTTCTGTTATTAGCAAGGTCTTTGAGTCCTTGATCAACAAATTCCTCACATCTCATCTTGAGTCAAATAAACTGCTGTCAGACAATCAATACGGTTTTCGATCCTCTTGCTCTACGGCCGACTTGCTAACTGCTGTAACTGAAAGATTTTATCGTGCATTAGATGGAGGCGGTGAGGCTAGGGCTATTGCTCTCGACATATCTAACGCTTTCGACAAAGTTTGGCATGCTGGTCTTCTCCATAAGCTTGCTTGATATGGTGTTTCTGGGAAAGTTTTTGAGATTATCAAATCATTTCTTTCTGACCGGTTTATTAAAGTCATCCTTGAAGGCCAACACTCTTCTTTATTTCCAGTAACTTCTGGGGTTCCCCAAGGTTCCATCCTGGGGCCTGTTTTGTTTCTTATCTACATAAACGATCTTCCTGACAACCTATCATCTAAAGTAGCTCTTTTTGCTGATGACTCAACTTTATACTCCTGTCTTGACAAAAAGTCTTCTCTTTTCGATTGCCTAGAACAAGCAGCTGATCTTGAATCTGATCTCACTTCAGTAATAGATTGGGGTTCACAGTGGCTTGTGAATTTCAACTCTAAAAAAACCCAATTGCTTACTGCAAACAACTACCGTAGTATGGTCAACATTCCTATATTAATGAATGGCAATCCTCTTACTGAGTCGTCTTCTTTACCTCTTCTTGGATTATTGCTTACTACTGACCTTTCATGGAAACCATATATACAATCGATTGCTAAATTAGCTTCTGCTAAGGTTGCTTCTCTTTATCGTGCTCGCCATTTCCTTACTTCTGATTCCATTCTCTACCTCTACAAATCTCTTATTCGTCCCTGTATGGAATACTGTTGTCATATTTGGGCTGGTTCTTCTAACGATTCACTTTCACTTCTTGACAAGGTCCAAAAACGCATTGTAAATGTTGTTGGACCTGGACTATCTGCTAAGCTTGAACCTCTTTCCCATCGTCGTAAAGTTGCATCTCTTTCTCTTTTCTACTAATACTATCATGGTCACTGCTCAAAGGAGTTATCATCTCTAGTTCCATCAACTAAAATTCATTCTCGTTTTACTCGTCATTCAGCTAAGTCTCATTCGTTTACTGTATCTGTCCCTGCATGCTCTAAAAACTTTTATTCGTCTAGTTTTTTTCCCCGCACTTCAATCCTTTGGAACTCTCTCCCATCTTCATGTTTTCCTGACTCCTACAACCTTCAACTTTTAAAGTCTTCTGTCAACCGTTTTCTTGCTCTATAACTCTGTTCTTTTTTTTTCCTAGTAACTCCCAACTTAATAGTGGTTGCTTGCAGCCTTGTTGGGAGTGAATGCAAATAAAAAAAAAAAAAAAATTAAAAAAAAAATGTTGAATTAGCCAAACTTATTCACCACTTTTTTTTCTTGTGTTTTATATAATTAAAACATTATTTTAATTGACACTTTTATTATAATTGACTTTTTTTTTATATAAAAAAAAAATTTATAACGCTTATCTTATAGTTTTCTTTTTTAAATTGCTCACAAAAATTTATTAATTGCCCAAACTTTATTGGAACAAATTACAAATTTATTTGAACAAATTCTATTACTTGCCCACATTTTATTGTATTTTTATATTATTACATTTTATAATAATAGTTATTAATTTAATACTTTTTAATTAAAAAAAAAAATTTAGATGGAGATGTAATGACTGAGTCAAACAATCGATGTAAATTTCCTTTTAAGTTTGAAGGTAAATTACATAATAAATGCTTGAAGGATGGTGATAAATATTGGTGTGCAACAGATCTGAAAAGCGATTTGACTTATAATAGTTGGGATAATTGTGTTTTTCGTAAGTTACTTTTTAGTGAACTATTTTTTTTTTTTATTTGTTACAGACTCATTTTTATAAAATTGATTTTTTATTTAGCACAAACATGGTCAGGGAAAATTCTTTCCATATCAATTCCTGAAAATGTTAAAGTTTGGCTTTATACAGAAGAAGATTATAGAGGTTTATTTAAATAAATGCATTACTTTACTAAAAGTATGTATATATATATATATATATATATATATATATATATATATATATATATATATATATATATATATATATATATATATATATATATATATATATATATATATATATATGTTAACAATTAGTAATATGGAGCTTGATGAAAAAATGTTTTGTATCCTGTTTATGACTGGTTATGTAGGTCTTTGATGTATTAGATTATTTAATGATATTCAGATCGTCTTGGTTCTGGTTTTAATAAAGTAATTTGTGAAGGTGAATTATTTAAAAGGAAAACAATCCTACTTGCAGATTTATAAATTTCTGATTTAAAATATGAAACTCAAACAGTTATTTAAAATGCGGTGATTGACTAAATTTACTTTTAATAATATTTGAAACCAACTGTTAAAGCATGTAAAGCAACAATAACAAAGACTAAACCAATAAGGTAACTACCTTGTTTGTAACTACCTTGTTTGTAACTACCTTGTTTGTAACTACCTTGTTTGTAACTTCTTTGTTTGTAACTACCTTGTTTGTAACTACCTTGTTTGTAACTACCTCATTTGTAACTACCTCGTTTGTAACTACCTTGTTTGTAACTACTTTGTTTGTAACTACCTCGTTTGTAACTACCTGGCTTTTACAGCAGTTATACAGTCTTAACAAAAATTTGATAATAAAAAATAAGTTTACATTAAAAATTAGAACAGCATTTCTTAAGTGTTAAAAATTCACTTTATTTTGTTAAAGTTGTCTAAAGCTTTGTATTAAAGATAAAGCTTCTTTTAATTTCTTTTTAGAAGGGTTTATTAAAAAAAATTATATAAAAATAGTAGTTATCAATGTATCAAACAATGTATCAGTTATAACAATGTATTATTAATTTTATAACAAAATGAACAATGCTAAAAAGACCCATGTAAGTTTTTTGCAATAAACTATGTAGAGAGTGAATTAGATATTTTTAATGAGAGCATTTGAATTTCAATTTGATTATGTTGTTGTTTTTCCATAAAGAATTCTAGGTTTTTATGTTGTTTTTTTTTTTGAGATAAAAATAAATATTATGTTAATAATAGTTTTTATTATTTAAAGTTTTTGGCTCATATAGCAAGCACCATGACTTAATATTTTCAAAATTTTTTGATTTAACAAAAAACGGCTTCCAATGTTGAATTGAGTCTAATATTTAAACAAGAATCTCATAACATTGGCATTAAAAGGTTCTTATGTTTTGGTCTTTACTTAATAAACTATGCCATAATAAATCCTAACTACCTGGAGTCACCCAAATCATTAAAATAATTGAGAAAACATTTTATTGACTTTTTAAAAACCAAACAGTTTATAGTTTAAAATAGACTAATATGTTTATTTGTTTTTTTAATTCATAGTATTTTTTTTTTTTTTTACTGTTTTTTGTTTTTAAATTTTGATTGCTTTATTTGTTTTATCATTTTTGTTTTAAAGAATTTTTAATTAGGAATTATCACAGCAGAGTGTACATACATCGACTGACTTAAATAGGTAGAAAAAGCAGGGAGTTTGCATATGTCAACTGAATTTTATAGACAAAGCATCCAGGCAGTGTTTATACATCAACTAAGAGTTTTGGTAGGGGCAGCCAGTCTACTAAGTTAAATAAATAATTTTTTTAGTATTTAAAAAAAAAAATAGTGTTTTAAGATAAAAATAGATAACCTTCCAAGATTGTATATATGTATATTATATTTGTAAATTTTTTTAAAAAAATTATGGTTGGACACCTATTAAATCTTTAGTTGTTAATTTTCAAGCCATGTAAATTTATTTTGAAGTATTTTTAATTCAAGTAAGAACTTTTTTTTACTTCCTCTGAATTGTGCAAACTTAACTAATTAATAATGTAAAGATAATTTGATAATAACATAAGTGTCTCTATCATAGATGTGAAAATGCATGAGACTAAGCAACGTTCTTGTGTTTTCATGTTTTAAAAAATATTTTTAAAAATTCAAAAACCGGTTTATTAGATTTAAGATATATAAACCTCTTGTTTAAAATTCTTGTTTATCCGACAGGTGAGAGTTAAAATGATTTTAAATGAGGAGCTTAATTAATAATTTTAATTAAAATGATTTTATTTGAGGAGTTATTGTTAAAATAATAATAATAAAACAATGTATATTTACAAAATTTATTTACATTTAATAGTATAATGAAATATGCAGCAAAATGAGCAAAATATATCTCACAAAACATTTCTCCATTTCACTCATTTTGTGGGTAGCATATATGCTTTTTCCACGATAGTAAGTAAAATTCCTAAAGACTTTGGATAATTTTCTCTAAGTATTTTTTTTTTTTATTGATAAACAATTTTGGTAACTTGTTGAATCTTAGTTTGGTAACAATGTTGAATCTTAGTTTTTTTTCTAATTTATAAAACATTTTAACTATTTTAAAGAACAAAATAAGTACAACACAGCATTTTATTTATATATATATAAATGTGCCACCATCTTGAATGGGGAAAAGCAACACCTGTATATTGTTTAATATTTTCAATATTTTGCATATTGTTTAATATTTTTTAATATTTTAACGTTTCAAAATGGAAAAACTAAAGGAAATGCGCTAATAACACTCTTTGTTCGATGTTTTCACCTATCTAAAATAGTTAAACATTTGTGACACTGCTGTAACCCCAAGAAAATAAAATACAAATTAATTTAAAAGAAAAAAGAAAAACTGATTATTAAATCAGATGTTTATCAAAAATATAAAACTTTATATATAAATGTTTATTAACATCAGTTATTTTTGATTTAATAATTAAAACTAACGCTATCTAATTAAAAAAAACAAAAAAAAAACGCTTAATTGAACTAAAAGTAACGCTTCAAAATCCAGATAGATTATGATTGCATAAAGACCACAGTTCAGTGCCTCTGATGTAATGTCTATTAATAAATTTGTAACACATGATTTTTGTTTTATGAAGCCATGTTGAGGCTTAATGTTTAATTTATGCTGAACCAGGTGAATCATCATATGTTTTTTCTACAATCTTTTAACAATTTTACATATTATGGCTGATAAAGATATTGGTCTATATTCAGATGGGTTGTTTTGTTTACCTTTTTGTTTATATATTGGTATCACATCCGTTTCTTTCCAATTATTAGGTATTATACCTGTTTCAAATGATGAAACTATCAGAAGAAAAATAGGCCATGCTAATCCAGTAACACACTCATTAAGAATATAAGGACTTATGCTATCTGGGCCAATCGCTTTGTATTTCTTCAAATTACTCAATTCACTAAAAACTGCAGTTTTTCTGATGAGATGAAAAATTTTTGCTAAGTAATTTTCTACAACAGATCCTGTCTAGTAACTCTTCAATGTCAAAAATAATATTGAAGCTGCTTGAGTTGGTTACATCAATTCCAATAATGTGTAGGGCATTTTTATGAAAATGTTGGATCTCTCTTTTTGCAGCAGCACTGCATGAAGTAAGAATTGGAGCACTATATATCAAGTGGCTAATAGTGTAAGATCAGTAGACCTGTAAAAGGTTTCACTGAGTGTGTCCAAGTTGTTTAAGACGTTTGAGTAGATATGGCACTAATTTTATATTTTTGTGAACTTTTTTCCACTGTTCATCCCAATCAATATTCTCATTGAGCATGATTCCAACGTATTTGTGGTTGCTGACTATTTCAAGTTCAGTATTATTGAGTACAGGGGATGGTAAAGCTTGAATTTCGAAGCACCTAGGAATAATTGTTATGATTTTACATTTAGGGTCATTAAGTTTCATTCCGTTTATCATATATATACATATATATATATATATATATATATATATATATATATACACATATGTATATATATTTTATATATGTAAATTTTAGATATACATAAATTACAATATATATAGATATAATTTATAGTATATATAGCATGTGTTTGCTAATTTATATATATAAAGTACTCGACAAAATTATAGCGCAAATGTAAAATAAAAGTTGATTAATAAAAATTTAATAGAGGATTGAATCAAAAGTTATAATTATTTTTTTTATCTGAAGAATAACTTTGTAAAAAAAATAACATTGTAAAAAATTTTGTAAACTTTTAACAAAAATGAATGAAAATTGAAAATTCATTTAAAGTTAACATGTTTTAAATTTCATTGAGGAATAATACAGAATAATAAGCTGGTCAAAATTATAGCACATACTCCTGGTGGGAAATCGGCTAGCGAATAGCTAGCTATAATCGTTACAATAAAGATAGCGATTTGGCCATGAGGATCGCTAGCTTTTTTAAGTTAGCGACAAGCAATCGATATTTGTAAAGATAAAGATAGTGATTTGGCTACAAGGACAGCTAGCTTAATAAGCTAAACTACTCACAGGCTATTGTAGCTACCGTCATATCGTAATAAAATTGCTATCAAAACAATTTTGGTATGATTTTTTTTTTTTTTTTTTTTAAACATCTTTGCTTCCAACAAGGCTGCAAGCAACCACTAATTAGCATTGAAAGTTACTGAAAGAGAAAAGATGAAGGTTGTAGAGCAAGATAATGATTGACAGATGACTTAAAAGATTGCAAATTATATGAATCAGGAAAGCAAGATGAAGGAAGCGAATTGCAAAGAACTGATGTTCGAGGAAAAAAACTGGACAAGTAAGAGTTTTTGGAGCACTTAGGAACAGTAACAGAAAAAGGATGAGACTTAATTGAATGACGAGTAACACGAGAATGAATTTTAGTAGATGGCACAAGAGATGCTAGCTCTTTAGAGCAGTGCCCATTATAGTATTTGTAGAAAAGAGAAAGAGAAGCAACATTATGACGATGTGACAGAGGTTGAAGGTTGGCTGCAAGAGCAGGTCCAACTATGTTTACAATGCGTTTTTCACCTTGTCTAAAAGAGAAAGGGCATCATTAGAAGATCCGCCCCAGATATGGCAACAGTATTCTATACATGG